AGCCCCCCAGGCTATTCCCACCCAGGATCCCCCAAGGCCGTGGCGTGGGGCCCCAGACCCCCGGCAGCACAGCGCTCACCTTTGCTCTCTGTCTTGAGCTCCTCGTGCAGCAGGTCATTCTGCCGGTTGCCGAGGACGAAGGCCAGGAAGGAAAGGATGAGGGCATTGAGGATGCCGATGATGGCCAGGATGTAAGCCCAGCGCACGGAGCAGTCGCCCAGGGAGTACTTCCCTGTCTTCTCCCCACACATGTCCCGTATGGTCTCTGCATCCCAGCCGTCAGGAAAGATCATGCAGCCCAGCACCAGGCAGAGCGCTGTGGGGGGAGAGGAAGGAGAAGCATCAGAGGGGACACAGGGGTGGCAGTGCTGGGCGCTGAGCCCCCCAGTCAGCGCGTGAGTGCAGTCCGTGCCCGGCAGTGAGCCCACCGTGTGGCCCCATGCAGCCAGGCAGTTGACAGCCACCACTGCCTGGCAGCCCCAGGGACTGTGTTCGTGCATGGCTGCCCCAAACCTGGCCCACGCACTAACAGAGATATCAGGGGCTTGGTTTCTTCAAGCATCAGCCACCGGATCAGTGGTTCCCCACAGGCTTTCCTCATCACCGCAGGCTCCCTGCGCGTGGGTGGGAGCTACTGGCATGCTAGGGGCAGGGATGCTGCCTGCCAAGAGGGTTGTCATCCCCAGGAGCACCCACATCCGACCACCCGCAGCCCTGCAAGCACCGCTCCCAGGGGGCTCGCTTGCTCAGCGTGCCTCCCTCCCGCACGCCCTGCGCTGAGCAGGGAGACATCGGGGAGCACCAGGATGAACAGGGAGGGAAACGCCTGTGACTGTCAAGGTAAGGAGGCGATGCTTTTTCTAACTACAGCCAGTACAAAAGCTCCTCACCCCGTATCAGCTGGGAAGGCTAAAAATATTAACAATGTTGTAGAGGAGCTGCGGTGTGCTGTGAGTATTTTTGTCCTGGATTAAGAGAGAACTGAGAGGCTTGTGCTCACGTGAGTGACAAAGTGCCTCCCGTCCCTTATTGCTGCAGGGACGGCAAACACCCGGCCGGGCACGCGTGCTGCTGCGGCCACAGCCCCTGGCGAGTTCTCGGGGTGCTGACGTGAGCTTTTAACTGCTCTTGGTAGGGAAGGGAAGTCCCAGGAGCAGGGGGAAGTGAGCACAGGGCATCGCACCGGGACTTGGCACGGCCCTTGCATCCTGATGAGCTGCACCACCCACTCTCCCCGGGAAAGGGCAGGGACGCCGAGGCGAGTCGCCCTCGCAGCCCGCACACCAGCACTGGCACACCCGCCAACTGCTGCCCAGCCTCTGCCTCCTCTATCCACACTACAAACCTGCTTGGTAAAAGCATCTTTGCAGACAGAGGCAAGCTCTGCAAGCTGATTTACCACCATACGCAGCCCCGGTGCCACTCCGGAGTGTGGCAGTGGAGTGCAGTGCACGTGTGAGGAGCCGGCATCTCCAGCATGTCGTCACCAGGGACTCCCAGCCAAGCATGGCTGTGTCTGGGGGAACTCCCTGTCTGCTGGGACCAGACCAACCCAAAACCGTTCCCTCTGAAAGGAAACATAATAGGCGCTGATGCTGTGCGCTGCACGGTAAATGGTGAGCAGCAACCTGGCCTGCCTGCTGACCTGGGCACCTTCAAGCTAGATGCCATTTAATTCAGCCAAGTGCTTGAATTAAAGGTGAGGAGGAGCAGCAGACCTGTGCTGGGGACTCACCTGGGAAAGCAGAGGTGCCAAGAGAATTTTAGCACCCCGCTGAGTTCCCAGTGCAGTGCAGCTGCAAAAAACGCTAAGGTTCTCTATGGCCATCCCTGGTGAGGGGGTGGTTTTGGCCCTGGAAATGGGCACAGCCACAACAGCTCTGCCAAAATCGGTGAGGAGGAGAAAAGAGTGCAGTGAGGCTGGAGGAAAGCACGGCAAGTGGCAAGGCAAGCTCTCCAGCTGCCTGGGTGCCAGCAGCCTTCAGCGACAGCCCCTCTCGGCCCAGAAGAGAACAGGGCTGGAGGAGAAGGCAAATTTAAGTAAAAAAAAAAAAAAAACCAAACCAAAAACCGGAAAAATAGAAAAATCAGGTGCCGATTTTACCTGCACCAGCAGGGGCTCGGGTGGGCTCCCAGCTTTTGTGCATGGCCCTTGGTCAGTCCTTTGCAGGAGCAGAACAGCAGCACTTGGGTCTCTCCCTGGACTCTGCAAGCATCAGTATTTCCTCTACATTTCTGGGCATTTATTTGTGTTCCAGGTGGATCCGGCTGCCCGGGTAAAGCAGGAGCTTGCTGAGAGCTCGCCGCTCTGCACACACCACAGCTGCATGGACATCAGCAGGTCCCAAAGGTGGCAGGACGGGGCAGTGACGCAGGAGGCAGCAGATTAACATGCTGGAGGGCTACAGCACTCATGGAGGATACAAGAGATGGGGTTTAAGGCAAAAGCAGAGAGCAGCTCAAAAAGGTATGGGAAAAACACACGGCATGCAAGTCACTCGTGCAGCCTGTTGTCACAACACAGCCACAGGGGACAGGCAGCGATGGCCACTTCCAGGACTACTGGTGCTGGCTTTAGCCTGCATCTGCCTGCCCTGGTTCCTCCTCTCCCCATGTGCCCACTCTGCACTAGTACTGGGGCAAGGAGAGTCTGGCCCTGGCCCACAGAGCAGCTCCAGGAGCTCTGCCCGAGACCTCACAGCCCCTCTTTGCCAGAGAGAATTAAACTACGAATTTACTACCAGGGCGAGAGCCACTATGTGTACCCAAATGCCTCTGCCCGAGCATGGCCGGCCTCTTCCCACAAGCGCCTCACTGGGAAGTGGCTGTGGTGGGGCCATGCCACCGAAGGCAGGTCCCCTCCCACCAAAGAGCAGCGCAGCGCTCTCCTCCTCCCATCTGTCCTACGTTTTGCCAGAAGCAAGCAGAGCCCTCTGCTCTGTCATAAGCAATTCCCTTTTCCACGTGTCCCCAGGCTGCCTGATGTCCTGGAAACACCTTCCCGTGCCCTCAGCAAGGAGCGACACTGAAGAGCAGAGCAAGAACAAGGAGGGGATCCCCACACAGTCCACAGACCTCGGCACTGTCTTTTTCAACAAGCCGGTCAGAGGGGTGCAAGGATGGGGCTCTGCCTGCCCGTCCCAATACCCACAGCACCGTTCTGCCAGCACCTGCCTCCCAGTGCCCTGAGGTGCCTTGCAGACCTGCAGGAAAACGTTGGGTTTTGTTTAAAACAGCCTATTTCTATGCCTTGCAACTGCATAAAAAACACTATGTGATGACTCCTACAAGAGCCGCTATTAGAAAGGAAAAAAATAACCTAACTCCCATCCATTCTGGTTTTAATTCCCATTCTTCTGAGAACATGGTGCCAATCCCCATTGCCAGTGGCACCAAGGACAGCAAGCTGCTTCATTGCACCCCACAGCTGCCATTCCTCCCCCAGGCCCTGGCCTCCAACTCCCTCTTCCAGAGTTTTCCCAGTTGGACAGATGGATTTGAGACTGGGAATTCCGGTGATCACTGGGGCAGGGTGTACACAGAAAGAGGATGAGACAGCTGCAGTTTGCAAGACTGCCCACGGGATCTTGCTGGGGCTCTGGCCCTGGGGAAACGGGCACTTCTCAGCTTGGTTTTGCAGCTTGTTCATGGCTTCCCACTCCTCAGTGCTCAGCGTCCCATAGAAATGAAATAGGAATCTCAAGGGCTTTTGATACCCTCACAAAAGAAATTAATTGAAGGGAATTCAATGTTATGACTCAGGCTGCAACACTGGAGTGAGATTTTAGCAGAGAGAGATGAGGCGGCTCCTCCTGGCAGAAGGTGCATTTTGCTAATTTGGACTGAGTAATCCATGCGTTTTTCAAGTACTGGGGTTATCCCAGTGCCGCCCCAGTCCCATGAAGTTGTGCCTGCAGGATTCAAATATGATTTTTTTTTTTTAATCACTTTTGCTGTCTAGTTTAGTCTGCAGGTTTGGGTGAAGACTGGCTTTTACGTCTCTCACCTGCCACAGGTGGAAGGGGTTAAGACATACCCTGCGGCTGAGAGACCTGGCCTCCCCACATAGCACAGAGCATCCCACTGCCACAGGACACAAGGGGCTGAAAACTGGAAAATGTGGGGGTAACTGGGGGAAAACCAGCAACTTCTGGGTCCCAAAGGAGCTTGTTAAACACAGCTTGGGTCAGCAACGCATTTGGCCCCGTGGGCAGTGGCTTGCCCTCCCTTGGGTTCAGCGAGCTGGCTGTCCCCTGCCCCTCATGCACGTTGCTGATGGCACATTGGGGGTCCCCACTGGGGATCCAGTGCCCCTGGGCACTGCACACCAGCCCCGAATCCCCAGGGGAACTGGAGATGTGAGGTGCCTTTGGGCCCGCAGTGGCTGCTTCTCACTAAGAAGCCTCCTGAGAGCTGAGCACCAAAAGGAAAGGGAACAAACAGAGCCCCCCCCACCTCCTGCCTCCTAAAAATAGAAATTCCTCAAAAATAAATGAAAACTAGAGGCAGCATGCTCAGGATGGCAAGCACCGGCCATTTACACAGACAGGAGCTCCCTTAGGGCATTTTGCTCCACAGGCTGTTTCTGAGCCAAAAAATCAGCGGGATTCAGAATAGAGTTACAAGTTTGTATGAATCAGAACTGACAGTTACTTTATCTGGAACAACAGTGAAGGGATGTAAGCTCCAGGACACGAGCAGCTCGGAAATGCCCAGCTCAGCCTCTCCCTGCGGGTCTGCAGGCGCATTCACAGCTACTACAGGAGGGTTACGCTGCCTTCGAAGCCCGGGGCTGGCTGCTGTGGAACACAAGACACTGGATGGATGCATGCAAGGTCTGCACTGCATTGCTGCTCTTGTCCCCGCTGTACGACAAGAGAGACAGAGGAAGGAGAGAGGAAATCTTCAGGAAAGTTTTTTCTGGGGCCAGAAGCTGATAATTCAGCAAACGCAGTTTTTTTGCAGTGATGTCTTCTTTTTGCTGCAAGGTCAGCAGGTGGAAGCAGTTCACCTGGAAGATCATATATCGGCAATATTTCTCTCTCAGGCGGAGAAAGGGCTTGAGGCTACTTCACCCTCATTCCCAGCAGCTGTCCCAGTTACGCTCCTAGCTGTTTTGGAGCAGTGGTAGCCATCTTTCAGTTTTTTCATTAAGAATGTCAATGAATTACTTTTATATCCATGAGAACAATTTTTTTTGAAACCTCAAACTGTCTCTGAGAGGAGCTGGCTCTCCAGCAAGTACCAGTTGGGAAGACGAGCCCATCCTGATGTGGCTCAGCAGAGCCACCACATCGCCTCCAGCACTGGGGAGTGTTTCAGGGCTGCAGCATTCGCTCAGGCCAGACCCTGCTCTCCCGGAAGGCTGCAGCCACCCCACCCCACCACGCAGCTCAGCCTGGCAGTTGGCAATGGCCTTCCTAGCCACTCCTCTCCACAGACACACCGAAACGACACCATGCAGCTGCACTGTGTGAGCGGTCCCAACCCATATGGTGGGAAAGGCAGCTCACGTGCAGAAGATGAAGCTGCTGATTGAGGCTCTGCCTCTGCTCCCAGTTCATGTGCTGGTGGGTGGGAAGGGCCCATCCAAGAGGTGAGTGTAGCTCCAAAGGGGGTGTCCCAAAGGCAAAAAGGGCTGAGATGGATATGTATTATCACATTCTCCATTGGGCAAGGTGCCTGGACGCTGCACAATTAACTCCAAAGTGCCACTGATAAAGACAAATCCCAGCCCCATAGCCACTGACATGGCCCCAGGTGGAAAGGCACCCCATGTGTCATGCCTGTGCCTGGCCTAAGGGAGCTGGAAGATCTCACCATGCTGACTGCCGGATTTGATGCGCGGGGAAACACCTTCAAAGGTGGCCAGTCACTTCCTCTGAGCAAGGAGGGGCTGTGTGCTCAGCTGGCTGCCTCTTTTGACCCTCAGCAGACTGTAAGTACAGAACCAAAGCCACCCTGAAAACAGAGCCCCAGACCTGCTCAGAGCAGCTGTCCTCATGGGAGGCATGTGGGCACGCTGCCACGCGGAAGTGGCTGGGGTCTCTCACTCTGGCATTAGTGCCGGGCACCCAGACAACTTTGTTCAAAGCTCAAGGTTAACTCACAGGGTGACCACGTCTTATGTCACAGCAGAGAATTAGGGAATCAGAGGAAATGCTCAGGCTCCTGGGCAGCCTCCTCAGTGTGTGGTGGTGGTGACATCTTCTTGTGCTCTGGCCCCCAGCGAGTGACTGCTGTGTGGTCACTGGAATGGAGGCATCCACAAACTCAGCCCAGCTGCCTTCATCTTGTTCCTGTACCTGCCCTCCAGGGAGGGCAGACGAGAGGGGTCACCCACTCAGCCCATTTCACTTCAAGTAAGCATCATCCCTGTGGGACTTTCAGAAGGAGCTCCTCCGCTAATTTTGAGGACTGGGGTGGCATCAGGGTGCTGTCAGTCATACAGTTGTTGATGTGCTCATGTTAAAGGCCCATTTCTGGTTTTATAACAGAAGGATTTAGCAAAATCTCCAGTTTTGCGTTACTGGGATTTTGAACAGGGCAGATGGCTACGTTTCTATTTGCGATAAAGCCGAGTCTTTCCTCTTAATTAGATCCAGTTTCCTCCTAGGGGGGCAGTGGCTTTTGAGCTGGAGCTTTCTGTGAAGCTCTAATTAAACCCTTCCTTGATTGTCGTCCACTAATTAGACATTGATGATTTAAACTTTTTTTTTTTTTTCTGAAAAAGATACTGAATTCCTGATCCTCCTCCTCTCCTCCTCCCCCACCTTCCTGCTCTTGATTTTTCTCCTCTGGAGAGCCCATTTCTGCCCTCGCTCAGCACAGGCCATCCCGTAGGGACGGGGTGGACCCACCCCTGCCCCATCTCTCTGCCTTTCACCTTGTTTACCTGGTTTTCACCAGTGAGACCATGAAACTTTGGGCCTCACTTTTACTTCTGTGAGTCCTCCTTCAGCTAAAACCTCACCAAGGCAGGAGGAATGCCTTTCCCTTCTCTGCCCCTCCAAGCCCTCTGCTCTGGCATGACCCTCCAACCTCCCAGGCAGGTAAATCTCCAAAGCTTGCCATCACGCTGTGCTGGAGCCTGCGTCGGGCCACATCCCTGGTATTTGGCCCACAGTGTCCTCTCCATGGGTCACAGCAGCTCCTTCTCCATGCGCAAGGTAATGCATCCACCTGTGGTTGCCTCTGATACGTATGTCTAGGGAAGTTCAGCCCTGCCCGACACCACCCAGACAAGGCTCCTACTTCCCAGGACACCCCAACCCACCACCTCTGTGTCCTGGCCCTCCCTGGTGGTGACACCAGCCTCTCCTGCAGGACAGACGCTCCCATGAAGCTGCCCTGTGTCAGGACAGGTGGATGGCCAGTCTCTGTTAATGCCACATTGGACTTTCCCTGACACAGAAAGGCTGCGTAGCCATGCTGCTCTGGGAGTGCTTCGAGACAAGCCTGGGCCAGCTGGAGCCAGGAGAGCTGTCCCATGGCGCCAGCAAGCCATGAACTTGGGGTTCTCACAAGTGCAATTGTGAGCAGCACAAGTGTAGCCATAAGGTGCAAAGTGTGAGCAGGGACAAAGCCCCAGGGCAGGGCAAGGGGTACCTAGAGGTAACAGCAGCAGGTTGCTGCTGTGGCCACCCAAGCCTGAGCAGGAGCAGGACAGGAGGCACTGGGGAGGAAGCCCAGGGCTGCCTTTGGTGTAGTGCCCTCTGCCACACAGCTTCCTGTGCAGCAGCAGCACTGGCTGGGCACTCCAAGCCTCTTGATTAAGCTGCCGACAATTGGAAGGATTTGGGCTCTGAGCTTGCTTTAAACCAGTAAATCTTTGGGGCAGGGAAAATTAAAGATGAAGGAATTTCTCGATAAGCCAAGGCAGCTCCAGGTCTGGCTGTGGTCCTGATCTGGGTGAGGGGAGGTCAGGCTTTCCAGCCCAAGCCAGCTGCAAGGGGAGAGAGCTGGGCTAGCTGCAAGCCCCTAGCATGGGGAGGGAGACTGTATCCTCCCACATCAATGACTGTGGCCCTTCTCCCAAGGGGGGGTGGACTGGGGTCCTTTCATTATGAATATGGGGGGCTCTGGGGCCTTCCAGTGGAAGCTCTGGGTCTATTCACATTTTGTATGCAGTGGGGAGTAACACAACGCCTTTCCACATGTAGTAAAACTGGAGAGAGAAGAAAGTGAAGGGTCCTGCTACCGGAGGAAGATCAGCATTTCTTCTCAGGGTCTTTCTCCCAAAAGGATAGACCCTCTGTGAGGACAGCTTGGAGGTCTGCACACAGGGGGATACTTGGGATCCTTATCAATATACACATCAGGTCCCCTTGTGGGGAAAAGTTTGGGTTATTGTACGGTGTCCCTTTGAGGAGTGAGTCTCTGAGGGTGCTGGAGTACATCTATGGTGGGGTTTCTTTTGTGGAGGGAGCTAAGGAGGATCTATAGACAGGGCCACTTTGGGGAGGAATGACTGGGCTTGAGCCCATGGTCACTTCTGAGGAGACACCAAGGTAAATGTATGGTGTCCCTCTGTGGGAAGCACTGTACTTGGGCTCTCTTATGCAGAGAGCTGGGGAAGGTCTGTCGTCACAGACTTTTCATGGTGCTGGAGGGAGGGAGGGGGCCTGGGCACAACATCTCTTTAAGGGGGAGCTGAAGGGTCTGTCTGTGCACAGGTGCTTTTACAGGGCTGGGGGGGGGTGGGTCCAAGCATGGGCTCCTGCCAGTGATGGGGTCCCTTCAGGGGCTGGGCGTTCCCCTAAAGTGGGTATCCCCTGGGGGTGGGCTTTCTTAGGGATGCCCTTGGGGCTGGGCAGACAGGGAGACTACTCTCTGATGTGGGATGCTCTGATGGGGGGTCTGGGTCCCCAGGGGGTTGGTCCCAGGTCCAGGGTGTCCTAGGGCATCCTTGAAGCTGGTCCTTGACTCTGTGGGACAGTCCCTGTTTTAGGGTGTCCCAAAGCTGGTCCCTGACTGGGGTGTACCAGGGTCCCCTGAGGTGGGTCCCTGATCCAGCTTTCCTGCTGTGTCCCAGGGAGCCCCATGGTTCCCTGGGATCAGGTCTTGCCTGGGGAGCCCTGGGTGCCAGTGCCCAGAACAGGTGCCCATTCCTAGTACTCAGTCCATGCTAGCACCTGGCCTGGGTGTCCCAGGAAGCCCTGGAGCACCCTGGGAACAGCTCTTGCCTGGGATGTCCCACGGCCCTGCAGTGCTTGTACCCTGCCCAGCTTCCCTGAGCAACCCTGGTGTTCCCTGAAGCCAGCCTCTGCCCATGGAGCCCCAAATGCCGGTGTCTAGAGCTGGCAACCTGTTCCTGGTGCTCAGTCAGTGCTAGTGTCTGGCCTGGGTGTCCCAGGAAGCCCTGGGACTGGTTCCTGTCACCCTGGCCCTGCAGTGCTTGGACCAAGCCCAGCTTCCTCAAGCAACCTTGGTGCTCCCTGTGGCCAGGGGCCCTGCTACCAGTGCCTGCGGATCCCCAGGTGCCAGTGCCCCGAGCTGGGGCCCATTCCTGGTACTCTGTCAGTGCCAGTGCCTGGCCAGTGTGTCCCAGGAAGCTCTTGAGGTGTCCTGGGGCCTGTTCCTGGATGGGATGTCCTATGGATCCACAGTACTTGTACCCAGCCCAGCTTTATCAGGCAACCTTGGCATTCCGGGTGGCCAGGGGTCCTGCTACCAGTGCCTGGGGCTCCCCGGATGCCAGTGTCCCGAGATGGTGCCCATTCCCAGTACCCTGTCAGTGCCAGTGTCTGGCCGGGGTGTCCCAGGAAGCCCTGGGGCTGGTTCCTGTCACCCTGGCCCCGCAGTGCTTGGACCCAGCCCAGCTTCCTCGAGCAACCTCGGTGCTCCCTGCGGCCAGGGGCCCTGCTACCAGTGCCCGGGGCTCTCCGGGTGCCAGCACCCACCGCTTGGCGCTGCCGTCCTGGCGAACCCCTCATCCCCCCCACCTCCACCCCCCCTTCGCCCATCACCCGGCCCAAAACCCGGCGGAGCTGACCCCGCGGGGCGGCCGGTGCCGGTGGGTACCTGCCAGCAGCTGCATCCAGGCGCAGATCTTGTAGACGGTGGCGGGGTTGCAGAAGAAGAAGAGGGCGAAGCAGGGGATGCA